GAAAAATTTATCAATTAGCTGCCATCCGAGCCTCCGGCCAGCAAAAGCGCTAACCGAAATAATCAGGGAAGCCCAGGAACGTCCTGATGCAGCCTTCCTCTGTGGGCCGCTCTCGGCACGATGCGGTTATTAGTGCCGAGGTGCCAGATCTTATCCTCTGCACATCTGCTACCTTTTAGCAGCGCCGGCGCTGTATGGGGTCTTTACAGCGCCGGCGCTGCATGGGGTCTTTACAGCGCCGGCTTTCATCAGCGTCCTTGCTTAATAAAGCCGACTTTAAACAGACCGGTGCCAAGTAGGTGTAAACATGCACAAATGATTTTTCTTTTTTTTTTTACCTTAAAGGACAGAAAATAGGTGACGAGGGTCTTGCCAAAACCAAACAAAAAATGAAAACCTAATCATACAAAAAACAGCTGTTGATCAGACGTTGCCCTCATGCTGGGCGAATCGCTTTCCGGGGGCGTTAATTTCAAGATGGAGCTGCACCCCCCAGCCACTGAGGGCTCTAAATGGGTACAAAGACAAAGTATGACTCAGCAGCCACGAGACAGAAAATGAGTGTGGCCTGGTCTTCAGAGGCTGGGCTCATCCGCAGGACATGTGCTTTCCTCAGCTCCTCCCGTGTCCCTCAGCAGCATCAGTTACCCCCCCCCCCATCGGCACTGAATTGCCTGAGGATGCCTGCCACCAGGGGTTTGCTTTAATAACCCTCCCTGTTTGTTTTCCCAGGGGGGGCTCCCACATGCCTGGTTCCAGTCAGGCCCGCGGGGGCCGGCTCTTGGTGCACAGTGAAGGTGCTAGCCAGAAGTTAGCCACTGATACCTCTTTCACATCAAGCTGGAGTTGGAGCCAGAGCTGGTGCCGGGGCTCAGCTGGAGTTCACATTGGGCCCACCGAGAACCATCTTGCATTCACACTGCACTTGGTGCTGAAAGGGTAGAACGATGACATCAGTGCGTGCGTGGTGCTGTGGGAGGGGTACTGTCCCAACTCTGGCCCAGTAGACATTCGGGGCTGGAAAAATGAGCTCCGGCCCGGATTTATCGGCCCTGCACCGGGTATTTTTGGTATGAATGTAATGCTCGGGTCAGAATTTAGGCTTGGCATGGACCCTGGCCCTGGTGTAAAAGGGCTATGTGTATCTATCATGCATTAGCTATCAGTTGTTAGTCACAAAATGTTAGAAATCAGACATTAGCTATCAGGTATTAGCCCATTGCTCCCCATTGCTTCTGTAAAGCGCTTTGGGTGTCTTGAATAGCGCTATATAAATGCAATATTCATTCATTTACCAGGTGTTGCCCACCTGACATTAGCTATCAGGTATTAGCCACCAGGTTTTAGCCACCTGACATTAGCCATCAGGTGTTAGCCACCAGGCATTAGCTATTAGGCGTTAGCCTCCAGGCATTAGCCATCAGGTGTTAGCCACCAGATCTTAGCCATCAGGCATTAGCTATTAGGCGTTAGCCTCCAAGCATTACCTATCAGGTGATAGCCACAGGGCGTGTCATAGCTGACAACCAGGACGTTCAAAGCGTTCCTGCAAGCATTGGGTGAACGGCACATCAGCTTGGCGACTAGTGCAGCGTCGCCAGAAAGCATTAAACCCGGGGCCCTGTCTTCTCTCCTCGGCTGCATTCAAGCTGGAGCGCCTCCGTCGGGGGGAGTGATAAATCACTGCTTTCCTGCAATTTGCCATGGGAGGCCGGCCGGCAAGTTGTTTAGTTAAAGGGTGGGGAGAGGGAGGCCGTGGAGGGAGCCGCTTCCTGCCGGGGCTCGGCCTCGCCGCATCGGGTTTCGCGCGCGCCCGGCACCATGCCCCACTGTTTATTTTCAGACCCCTCGCCCCACCTTGGGTGAGGACCCCCCCACACGCTCTCTCTCTCTCCAGTATTTCATCTATGTCGGCGACTCCGCTCTGGCTCTGGTGGACACCACAGTGGGAGAGCAAGTGGTGGAAAAGGGCCTTATCCCATCAAAAGGCCGAAACACAAACTCCCGTCGCTGACACCCAGGTCGGCTCAGGCCCAATTAGCCTCAAGATCTATCCTGCAGGACCCAGCGAATTTGCTGCAGCACGAGATATACGGGATCCATGGAGGCACCATGGCTGGGTCCCCATCCAATACTGTATGTTCTTTTAGCTTTAAATGGGAAACCTACTGGACTGAACTATGCAGCAGTAATATAATTATCATTCTAAGTGGGAAGTTTACAGGCAGAAATGTTAGTCTTTCCCCTTGACATGACACTGGTGCAAACAATCAGCACAGACACAGTTTATTAACTAATAATTTATTTTTTTTGTTGCTTACGATTAAAAAGTCGGTAGTTGTTGCACCGAATGGTGATGTACAGAGAGGAAATTAAAACAGGGATGACGACAGGGGAGCGAGGCGGGACCACCCCCCCGTGGGGGTTGGGGGGGGCCGGGATGCTTCCCCCGGTTTACACAGTGCCTTACTAACGGTGTCGGCAAATCCAGGGCTGCCTGGTACCAAACAGTGGGTTTGGTATCTGTGAGGAAAAGTTCGAGACAAGTTAAGAAGAGGCGCCGAAACCAGCCGCCCCAACTTTCATCTTTGCCTCCTGCTCCTCCTCTGCTCTGCTCCCCCCCACCACCACATCCACAGCAGCCTGGGCGCCCTACCTCTTCCTTTGTTAAGAGAAATGTTTGCTTTACAAAAAGAAATAAAAGTTAACATCGATACGTATTTACAACATCACAGACAAAAAGGGCAAAGAGGAAGGAAAAGAAAACAACCTTAAAAATCGTAAGTGATTTGCCAAACACAGGCCACCCTGAAGCACCTACAACAACAGTACATCTGTTCTGCATATTAAATATCAGGGCATATTGCAATTAACTGATCTTAAGCATGGTTGTTTCATTGTATTTTTAGACATACTGTGTCTGCATCATATCTCACATACATAAGGGTAGGTAGATATATTCTAGATATCATCTTTCCACGCGTAGATATTGTCGATGCCGTAAGGTATGACGAGATCCAACGAAAGGTAAATAGGTGATTTCATTCCAAAACCGCAGATAACGAGCTCGGGTCAAGGTTTAAACTTCACCAGACGACACACCAAGGGACTGCTTCCTTGATATGTCCGATAAAGGGGGGGAGCACTACGCCATTCAAAGTGAAAACAAAAAACCCCCAAGCCTATTTGGAGCAAGACCCTTGGGCTAAAGGGAGGTCGAAGAGACGAACTGCATGTCATGCCGAGATGAGCACCCAGGGGGCCTCGCAGCAGGAGACGGACCAGAAACGTTGCCCATCTGATGCGGAGGAATACCGATGGATTTTTTTTGGCTTGTTGGGAGTAAGGTGAGCCCTAAACAAAGACTTCCTACAATAGACAAAACATCAACCGGGCCTGGGCTGTGCTTTCATCCATATCCTGTAAACAATCCCTGCAAGGCTTTCCGTATTAAGGCCAGTTTCAACACAACCCAAAGGGTGAGTATTCCTTGCACTCTGCTGTTATGTCACTTCTGATCCCATCGCCTGGTTTGCATTTTTTTATTTAGTCTTTTTCACATTTCAACCGTTTCTTTGATGACCTGTTATATGAACCCCAAAGTTTTAAATGTTTTTAGTTGAAGGTGCCCTGGCTGCAGAGAGCATGAATCACTTTGACCATAAAATAATCCTGACGTTCCCGTAATGTAAATTACATGTGAGAACTGCAAAGCCTGACAACTAATTTAATAGCTTCCTCTGCCCTGACATATTATGCAAACAGTATTCAAATCTGAATAAGCACGTCGGGTTTCTCTCTGTCACAATGTCATCTGTCTCTCATAATAATTTTCCAACTTTCTTTTTTTTTCTTTTAAACAAGGCACGCACACCTGTGAGCATTCCCAGTATTACCAGGGAACATGTTTTTAAAAACCTCGTTAAGGCCTCAATTAAATTGCCGAGCGCTTTTTTTGGCTTCGTTTTAGTCCAAACAACAGGTGTCGCCTCTCGGGCCGTCGAGAGAAAACAAATCGGCAGCCGACACGTTTCTGTGCTTGCGCTTGGAAACGGATTTACGCCTTCGGGAGCAGAGCGGATCTGGTGTTCCAAAAATTCAGGGTGGCTCCACGTTACTGCAATAATAAGGAACGAAAACAAATGAAAAGCATCCGGTCTTCGTTCGTGAATGAGCAGGCACTGAATACACCTACGGGTAACTTTGTGTTTGTGTAAGTCTCATTTGGACTGACCAATCAAAAACTATGCCAGCTTGGTACGCTCATGCCAGCGATGTAAGATGGCAGCTATTGTGCGATCTCTGCACAGGCGGGGGTAACCAATGGTTAGATTTCACTTTAATGAGACTGCACCGAATGTCGGTATTGCCGAACAGAATCAAAGGTCTTTTCTTAACGTGTTCAGTTACATTGCAGGATGCACCAGGCTACCAGAGAGAAGCCTGAAAATGGGTCTCAGTCTCAACCATCCCCATCGGGCCGGTGGGTAACATGAACTATCAGCTGTACCGTTCAATTTTTGTTTAAAGCCATACTTTGACTTACATATGCTACAAGCAAGCCGGCCTGAATGCCAAGCATAACACGATAATCTCACGGACAGCCATAGCAATCAAACCGTGGAGAGGCTCTGCCCTCCCACACTCCCCCCCCCCCCCCCCCTTTCTGTTCACATTCGTTTCGGGAATGAAAACAAATGCTGAACGGCTCCGTCTGCTCCCGCTACTGCGTCACGAAGTCCCGGGATCGGGAGTGTACACCGCGACGGAGAAGCATGCTTGCGAACGGATCTGGAAGTGTGACAAGCCAAGCCACACACTCCTGCCAAAATAGTAAACGAATAGCATAAAAACGGCTTTAGGCTCACTAGTAGCTGGCTATTTTGGAACATGCATACATTCTGTTTACATTCTCTGTTTTTTAAAAAAAGACAACAACAAACGTCAGGCAAGACAAAAATAAAACTTTCAAAACAAAAAGGACTGCACTTTTCATTCAGTTTGTCCTCGTTTTCCTTTTTATCAATTTACAACAGGTGATGGATTGAAAGAAAACATTTAAAAGAAGTGGTAGTGTCATCACAGCCTGCATCAAACCAAAGGCTGACTGCAAAGCCTCTTTTCAGCTGTGATCATTTGGAAACAATCTGCTTTCTTTCGTTTCCTCGTCTGCCATCCTCGTCTGCCACTGAACCTAAGCAGACTGGGCCCTATGATGCTTAAAATCCTCACACGTCCTCACGTATGTAAACACAGGCATCTGTTAAAAATGAAAAACATAAAGAGGCTGACCTGACAGGTGAAAACAATAATCAAAGACATGTACATTTTTGATCTGTCTCGTGGAAATGGCCTGGCAACCCTGTCAGTTTGCAACGTGATATGAGTGGAAGAAGTGGGTGAAACTCAAGCAGTCAGACGAAACACAGGATCACTGGTCACATGACATTGGCATTTCAGAGATTCGTCTGCCAAGGACAGTTTACATCAAGTACCCTTCTGGTGCAAGGGATTATGGGTGATGGGTGGGGGGGGGGGCAAAGTGATGTGGCTGTAGCAGCTGGAATTCAAGGAAAGAAAACACCTCAGGACAAGCCCGCCTGTCACCTTGGTCATGTGACAGGGACAGTGGAAAATATGCAGTCTGCCCAGCAACCAGCGAATCCCAGACCTCCAGGAATTTCCTCCCATAGGCTAAACCGTGAAGGGACTTTGGGCCTGCGGTCCAATGAGGAGTCTCGCTGGCTGTGGCAGCCTGTGGCGTCTTTGCCGTCCAATCCCTAAGCAGCGGAGAGGCGTTACGGCAGCAGTGACGGCAAATCAGGCAGAAAGCAGGGGTGGCGGCACAGAATCTGACTGGGTTTTAGCTAATGGCAGAAGATTGTGTCGCTTTATACTAAAAAGTATAAATTGTGTTAAGAGGTAACCAGTCTGGGGATGAAGGGAGGGGGACAAGTTCACAATTTCTACTGTCTTTGTCAAGGACGGGGAGAATGGCATGAATTCTCATCTACACGTTGTACCCTTTTTAACGGTCCCTTTTCAAGGCAGACCAATAAAAAAAAAAGTCACACGCGAATGAAAAACAACAAGAAACGGCAGGAAATAGTACAATATACACAAAGTGGTCCTTAAAGGGGCATAACACATGCAGTCTTTGTATGTGTGCCGTTCCCGGGCATGCTCCATCCTGCAAGGCATCAGGAGCTTGGTAGGGGGCGCTCTCCCGTCACGCCTTGTTACACTTCCCCTTCTTCTCCTTGCGCTGGAACTTTCGCAGTCGTCGCGTCCATGCGTCCCTCCACTGGATGACCAGGCTGTTCTTGTCGGCCAGCAGGCCGGTCCGCTCCGACCCGCTGTTGTTGGTACCCATCACCAGGAAGCGTTGGCTCATCTGGATTTTGGGACACTTGCAGCCCAGGTCCTTCATATGGATCCAGAGGAAGTTGTCGCCCCGCTTCAGCGGCTCCCCACGGCTCTTGTAGACCGACGCCACGTTGACAGAGAACTTGGCCCAGTCGCCCACGGTCTCCATGTCCAGAACGTTCACTTGCACGGCTTTGGGGAGACGAGTCGCATGTTAGATGCGACAGAAATTTTGTCTACTTAATCTGCTCTCTTGAGAGCCCAAATTTGAAACAGCATCAGTTTTAGACAGTAAAAGAAAAACACACACTTGCTATATCAGGACGTATCATCTGTTTCATCGCAGACACTCTGCGGCACGTGATTTCAGCTGCAATGACGTCACCGCGCCTCCGTAGCCGGGCAACTCACCATAATCCTTCTTGCAGTACTTCTTCATGTTGATCTTCAGGTTTCCCTTCACAGGCTTGCAGTACGACTCACAGTCTACAAAGAAACACAACAGTTTTAGCATTAAGCAAGTTCACCCGAGTCCACCGGCCTCAATCTGTCAAGGGCAATATAACAAAAAAACAAACTAACGGTACACATAACAATTATTATCACCCCTATTAATCATCGGCAGCTGATTTCTGACAAATTCACTTACAAATGGCTCAGGAACTGCACATACTTATGGAAGACCCAATATTGCATTATTTAAATTACAGATATAGGGAGGAGGGGGTGGTAATTCAGGGATGGTCAGGCAAATAGGTTATTATAGTTTCTTAAGTAGCACAAATTTGGAAGCATTCACGATGAAAATTCAGCAGCGCGTCAGATGCGATTCCACGCTGGACTGCGGTGCTGGGATCTGAAGCAGAAACCCGACCGGCGGAACCCACATGTACCAGTGTCTCTGTGACTGTCACCAGACCAGCTTCCATATTCTTTCCCACACTCCACTTCCCATCAGGCACCTGGTGATAGACGTAGCTGCTCACAGACACGCAGGACAAAGTTATTCTTCACCAGGGCCATGCCACTCACTCGATGACATCACGAAGTCACACTGCTGTATCAGCCTTCCCGGCCACTTTTTCCTGTCATGGAGGTCACGGGCTTGTTACAGGAACGTTAAAATGAATTGCAGCTGCCATCCCAAACCTCATTCATACAGGGGCTCGATGACATCACATGTGTGCTTTCTTTCGGGTCCGTCCAGCACAGCCCTCTAACAGTATAATAGAGCCTGTGTACCGCAGGCAGATGGAGGTGCCCCCGTTCTAAGTAATGGAGCGAGAGCTTCCACTCGCATGTGGCAGTCAGAGCAGCACCTGTCATCTGCCTCGGGGTGGAGGACGGGAGGGAGGAAACCGTCGGTTTGGCCAGCGAGCGCCGGGCCCAGACTGAGCCAGCAACAAATCACATTTCAGGCCAGAACCAAACCGGAGGGAAACAGACTTGTGGAAAGTGATGAAGGAATCCGCTTCTCTGTTGGCACTTTCTTCTTGAGAGGAACAAAAAAAAAAAACAGTCAACGGGAAGAGGCGGAGCGTATTGACTTGCTCAAGAGAATGAGGCCGTTGACCGGGTGAAAGGAGAGCACGCCAAGGTGGGAGCACGCCCCCCCCCTCCTCCAACTGCACGCCCCCATGACGGCACCCAGAACCGGGCGCAGAGAGCTCCTTCTCGCCGTCAGGGAGCTAGATTCTTACAGGGCTACAAATGGAGAATAGACAGCAAGGCGAGGGCAAAGCAAAGGCAGAAACAGCGGCTGAAAGAGCCGCTTTTTTATGGAAACCCCACAAGGGTATATGCCATTACGTCATTGGCCAGCTCTCTAGGCCACACAGTTCTAGTGTTATACCATCATCACAGTAGCTGTCATGACATCAGAGGTAAAAGATGCCCATTAAATGGTTTTAATGCATGTACTTTGTTATTATTAAGAAATATGAGCCATTTTTCTCTAAGGTGGCATAATCATACTTCACATAGCTAACACATAGAGAATTCTTATACCAAGCATACTAGATGTTTTTAGCAAAATTAACATTAAAGGAACATGAGGCCTATTAATTTCATATTAATATTTTCCCCTACAAAGTAAATAGAAGAATAGATCCCTCTTAAGCTTATTTTTTTTCTAGTAACAGGAGAAATGAGGCTTTGAAACCCATAATGTGAGGGATTACCGTTTCCTGTCAATCACCAGCTCGATTAATCCAAAGGAATCCTGTCAAGTTACCCAAAGGTTAAACAACCAGTGACTGACAGTGCAAGATAATCCCGCCCACCCTGGGAGCCGAACACGCATTTGTCCAATCACTTCATAAGTGTAATTTATTTAATTGCTTTGTGATTCAGCTCAACACTAAACAACAGAGGGCCCCTCCTGGTAATTCATTATGTAACCTTCCGTTCAAGAGTTTCTGAAGCAAAAAAATTACGTTAATCACATTTTAAAGATACACACAGATAAACCTATATTCAGCAACTTTTCAAAATGTAATTATATTACCCATTCACACATTAATGCATGTTAAATGATGGTACTTTCTTATAATCCAACCCTGGGACAATCTCTTTGAGACGGGAAGGTCAAACACGCCATAGAAATGGGGAGAGTGAATTATGAGAATGGGTGACTTTGGCGGCTTCAGCAAACTCTGATTTCCCTTGGGCACCGAAGGAGCTGTCGCGGAGGGACGGTCATCTGTACTGAATTAAAATTCACAAAGGCATTGCAAACTATCTGCCCGGCCCTCCATCCATCCGTCGCTGGCATCCGGCCTCCGATCACGGCATTTCGGATCGTACCCCTGAACTCATGCTGAGTTAAGGTGACGTACTCCCTGGATCCACCGCCGGCCCGAATGCAAGGCTTCGGTCAATCATCCTGACACCTACTTGAAAGGGCTTGTTGTTGTGTACTGACCAGTCCTCGAGTCGCTTATAGCTCTTTCAAAATGAAATCATTCAGGAGTCTGGTCAAAGGGGCAGTTTCAAGTTCCAAACCCAACCAAATAAAAGGGATTGCTCACACAGAAAGTCTTTTTTTCCACTATTAAGAAACAAAATGTTTTCTCGTCCCAAGGTGCAGAACGGCCCTTCTCGTTTCAACGTCGATCTCTAAAGGAGAGAGTGGGCTGGGGGGACGCTGAGAGGGGAAAAAAAAGCCATAAAAATGTCAGGGGGACTTGGCTGTATATCAGAGCGACACCGTTTTCTTGGCGGTAACCGAAGAGCGGACAGGCCAGCTTTTCATGGCGTTCAGGGCGTCTGTGGGGATAAACGGCCCAATCTCCTTCACTGAGCCCAGAGGACCACGGCGAGGGTTAGCATGGCTCTCTAGTCTTCTCCTGGGCATCCAGGAAGGTGAATAAAAACTTCGCAGTTCAACGATGCAGTTCAGAAAAGAGCATTTTTTATTTTGTGTTTTTTATTTTGTCTCCTCAGTTTGCTGGCTGTCCACTTCTGAATGTGGCCGGGAGGACCCGGGGCACTGTTTCCTGCGCTGAAAGGAAGGCCGTGGCAGCGTGCCTCTCTGCGTGAAATGCTTTAAATGTAAAATATCTGCCGGAAAGGGCAATTAGTGAGCTCAGCACCGCCGCGGAGGTTGCCCGGCAATGCTGCCGCACTTCTGGCCACCTGCCAACCCGTATTTTCCCATGAAGAGCCGCTTACTGACGGCCAATCACCTGGAAAGTCTAATGAATCGGCCAGTGACCCAAAAAGCAGGGCTGCCGAAAAGCAGGACGCGACCGCTGAGGGATCTCTGGTTTCTGCGAACTGCGAACCACGCCCCAAGTGCGTGTGAAGGAATCACCACAAATCCAGAAATCAGACGTGGAGCCAGGGGTTGGAAAGGCACCTCGAGTCCCATGGCTGGTACCAGACACCCCCACGGAGGGGGGAGTACTCAAAAAAAGGGGGGGGGGGATCAGTGTACCTATTTGGCAGGTGCAGAGGCCAGTCCGCTACACAAATCCCGAGGAAGGAAGTTCCTGTGCAGACGGCACCAGGAATAATCATGCGTGAAATCCCACCATTACCAGCTTCCAGGAGTAGGATACTTGGAGCAGACCAGGAATATCCGGTGATAAAACAAAAGGAAACTGGAACCAGCAAAATGCAAGAACCTATAGAGCAGAACTACTAACCTAAAAGCTGAACTACTGCCCTTCACCACACACTTTGTTTGACAGGCCTCCTTCATGCTTCCTCTGCAGAGCCGCAATATGCGAGCATCCGTTGCAATGACATCCTCAGACAGATCTGCTGTCATGTGCTGAACCTGGTGCCTCAAACCGCCCCCGGGAGGCGCTCATCTGACAGGGAAAACACTCAGCAACCTACGTGTGACCCTGGGAGCATCTGTTCACTCCACTTAAACCATCTATTAAGTAAGAAAGCACTTAAACACCACTTCAGACTGACGACAGCAGCCTATGCCACTGGATTTGGCAGCTCGCGGTCCCACTTTCTCAGTGAAGCATGGGGGGGGAGGGGGGGTCTGACCTGCTGGTTCTTCTGTGCTGCTGACCACTGCGGTTGGGTTCACCACCGGGATTTCTGACAGGGGAAGAGAGGAGAGAGGAAGTTAACAGCAATTAGCAAAAACAAACAGAGAACAATAAAGCCAACACCCCCATCAGGAGTTATTACAATAACGCATAGGGGATTGAGGGGGCGGGGCTTGCATGCAGTCCCTGCAGTAATTGCCCAATCACATCACAGTGCCCGCAGCTGTGTCCAATGATGCTCCACTTTCCTCCTGCCCAACATCATTCATATATGCAACCCCATGGAAAACAAGTCACTAAACACATTACGCAGCCCACGTCTAGTGGACACTCAATACCAGAGTGAAGGCACGCACCTCAGAACCAGAGCGCATGCGCTTTGTTCACAAACACCAATGCTAACTGCCAGTCTTACAACAGCGCGAAACAACTACTTTTGCTGGTGGCAGCATGTTGAGCTTCTTGTGGTGAAAAATGGACGGAAATGGCAAAGCCGACAAAGGGGGTCGAATAGACCCTGCATCCCGCAACACTAATGGAGGCCACACGGTTAAGCGACTGGCTCCATCATAACACGAGAAACCTTTGGAATCCGCGTGTCAGGGAGCCGTGCAGCCGTGGTGACGTCTGGAGGCCTAAAGATACAATGCAAAAAAAAACCCAACACACACAGCAACACACAGACACAAGACTAAAACGCCCGCAAGCAGAACCCACAGGGGTTAACGTGTTACAGCTTTACAGCTGGTTGACAGCAGAACTGCCATTTAATTTTTGCAGACATTGGAGAATTGGCTCAGTGTGCAAGTAACAGCTGATTTCCAGGAAAAGTATCTACCCATATGCGCCACCCCCCCCCTCCACCAATCCCTACAACAGTAGCAAAGTCCCTTCAAAACACAGACGTCTGCCAAAAGCCAGCTCCCTCCCTTGCAGCAAATTGCATGGCTATACCCATCAAAAGTGCACTCAGACCGTTACCCCCCCCCCCCCCACGTGCAATGTTTCTCAACAGATTGCGAGTTCCCGACCCTCTGGATGTCTCTGTTCAGAGGGCAGGGGAGTTAAACCCAGCCTGGCCCACGTCATGTGGCATCCGGGAACCCTTTGGCAATGGCACCTACCCGCCCACCTTGCCTCCACTTCAATGCTTACATGGTGTCTATCTCGCCACTGAGTCGCAAGAAATGCATGGACACCCGGCCCCAGCTGGTGGGTGGGGTGGGGGAGGGGGTGACGTCTCGTGAATGCGCCCTAGCCCAGGGTCCTCCGGCGCGGGGCTCCTGGAATTTGTCGCGCCGTGTGACCGCGGCGAGTCCCCGCCCCCCAGGCCTCCGCCATCTGCCTCGAGTGAGGGGGAGATGGCAGGCACAGCATCCGTCACGCGGCACAGCGTGCGGACAAGCTGCTCACCCTCTTGTGGTCCGTCTGTGAGGACCAGGGGGCGGCTCCCAAACCTGGCCCCTCCACAGCCCGCACTTACCCCTCACCATGAGGGCAAGGCGTGCAGACCCTACCGCTGCAGCTGGGGGGGGGGGGGTGTACGACTGAAATAATGCACCTGAAATTACAACTGCGAGAGACTTTACCTCTGGGACAGAGAACAGAAATTGCAGCTCGGAGCAAGTCAGCGTAACGTAGAGTGGCACTGGAACAGCCTGACGAGAACCCAAAAACAATACGGAAGCAGGGGCGGATCTAAGGGGTGGCCACGAAATATGGAGCATTTAATCCTGTAAGCTACAGCTGCCTAACCCGTTGATCAGTCGGATGTGGTGTGTCTCCCCCCCACTCCAGGTGGCAAGATATTACCCCATTGCTACCCCAGTAAAATTCCTGGTCTAGTGTGGTCTCCCCATTGTACAAAGTCTGGCTATGTCCCTGATAGAGGGACAAGGAATAGAAAGATGAGCGATAAAAAGGAAACAGACCCCTTCCCGGATTAGAGCCTCAGCCCGTTCACGCTCCAGGACTCAACGGGGAGCCCGGCAGGGAAAGAGGTCTGGTCAAGATGTTCAGTACCGGACTCTATGAACTGATGGATCCACTCCACCCAAGGCAGTGTGATTCACCTGTCCGCTTACGGTCTATAGACAGGAGGTGCTGGTGGATCCTTGGACACGCATGGTGTCTATCAATTCTGCTGAACATACCCCCCTCAGTCCCTTAGTATTAACGCACAATGACAGAAAAGCAAAAGAGACGCATAACAGCCTTTGGTTTACATTTACAAACCAAACATTTCATTTTTTGGTTTCTGGGTATCTACATCAGATGTGCCACTGTTTTCTATTTTAACCAAAAACCCAAAACCAGAGCCAGCTCAGCAAGGCAGCCTGGCTAGTGTAGAGGAGAGGGGCAGTCCGACTCACTGATGCAGGGGGCCACGGGAGAGCGACTCTGCTGGTAGCCCTTGGCGCAGCGGTTGCAGGTGATGCCCGTCACGCCGTCCTTGCAGGGGCACTGACCCGTCGTTTGGTTACACGTCTTACCAGCAGCGCCCACTGGGTGGCAGTCACAAGCTGGAGGGAGAGAAAATAAATAATGGTTTAACACATACTTGATGAATTATACTATGTGACCTCCTACTATGTGATTCCTTCCTGATTAGATTTAAAATTTTATGAAAAAAGAAATCTTAATGTTATACCTGCATTGGTCTTAAAACCCGTGCAGCTCACTGTAATTGATTTCTTGTTCTCTGACATCGGTATTCATTAATGATTTCCACTGCTACCAGCACCGTGCCGCTCCTATATACCTTTAGTATTTAGTATTTTTTGGCTGCAGCAACCAGTCACCTCCATACCGCCGAGTACTGCGATAGCGGACGAACAGGGGAAGGAGAAGCGTAAGTGCTGCGCCAGGGCCGGTGCAAACTCACTTCTTTAATCCTCTGTCTGCCTGCACATCTAACAACCCCTCCTTCCAGCAATAAAGCACCAGAGCCCATTTTTGGATGCTTTCGATATGTAATTACGGTAAGATTTCGTTAAACAATGACTGGAAATAAGACTAGAAGATTTTAAGGGCTGAAAAAAACTCCCCTTCCCGCCCAAAACAGATAAACAAATAAATAAAAAAAAACGCACGGACGGTGCCCGTTGTCAGTATCAGCAGCGCCCTTCATAAGAGGCGGCGGACGGACCAACGCGTCTGCATTCCTCTGACTCGGTTCCCTGTACCATCAAAGTAAACAGCACTAAATCTCCTCATCCCCGGCCGCCCCTGGCTCTGCCCGGTGAGTAAATATACTGTAGGGCTCTGGATGCCCTCACACACGTATGCCTGCAGCACACTGTCCACTAACATCAGCAAAGCGCTGAAACCCAGAGCCAATTATTTGCGACGATGTTCTGAAGTTTAATTTTTATTTCTCAGTAAATTGGAATCATATGCATTGCTATGAACAATGCGAACAGTGTCTATTACAGCGAGCCGATGTGCAACAATTTTATTACGGCTAGAAAAAACATCACGTTGCGAACGACTGCATACCAACAAGCAGTAATACTCAGTTCCCTGTAAAATTTATCAACGCCATCGAGCGCCACTGGTTTCTCCGGTTGCAAGTTTTCAATTTTTGAACAATTTGATCTCATCTTGATAGCTAGGAAAAAACGGAAAGAAAAACATGCGGCTGCCTGAAATATAGATATTTTATGGTGATGAGCGGTCAGCAAAACGAGAGCTGGAATCGGCCTGCGAGGCTCGTCGAGATGGATTCGAATCAGGTCACGCAGTACGGAGCGAAGAAAAACAATATATTTGAAAAATAAACAGTAAGAAGATAGGATCATGTTTAAAAAATGTCTCTATCAGATCTGGCACTGTGAATGTTCGTTAATGCACAACTGGGAACAGCGCAGAAGCAGTTTATTCCCCCTTGTTTGAGACTAATTTAGTAGAAAACAACCCCTTTCCATGCTGAAATTACAAAGGTAAACAGCAGTATTTTACTGTAATGCGATAGTCCTAATTATTCAGCATCCTAAAGAGCAGAAACTATCCTTTGGGAAAATACCAGTAACTCAAATACGCTAATAAAAAAATTGTTCATTTTTGGGTCTTGATTTTGTCAGGCTTAATTGTGTTTTATTGCTATTCATAATTTTCCCCTAAGGCCATCACAACCTGTTGATAAGAGGACAGCCTCCTGCTTCTTTTATTTACTCTTTCTTGTTTACTTGTCACTTTTTTTAACTTGGCTTCTAATGCTTTATATACTTTAGATATCTTTGCTGTCATTGTAATTAAAACAAAGTTTAGTTGTTTTAATTACAATAACAATAAAGATGTCTATCTATATCTAACAAATTTCAATTTGTTATTTAACAATTAATATAATAATTGTTCTGTGGCTTGAACCAGAGGAATCCGCATCCTTAACCACCAAATTATTCTGTGATAATTAGTTTTTAGATGCTGTCTGCAAAAACCATGCTCTGTTAGACAGATTTCCAGCACCTGGCTAGAAACTTTGAGCTATGTATTTTTCCCCGCACTGTTGTTTGGGGATGTTGGCACGTCTGCTGAACTTCTTTGATTGGAAGTGGAGATGGGGGGGGGGGAGAGGGGGATGGGTGCAGGAGCCTGAAGGTCAAAGGTCTCTGCGCAAAGCAGCAGTCTGCTTGTGTGACTCAGTTCCCATCCCTCACACTGCTGAGGGAACGACTGCATTGCCCCTGTGGCCAGGTGCTGGGGGGTGTGCCCATTTGGAAATGTCTGACATTCCTCTTCCAAGCGTTCCTTCACGCTCCCAGATGTGCTAACGAACTGCAGCTGATCAGGCCCCTAAAACCTGCTCTTTGAAGTCACTGAGGTCATCGTGTGGGGAACGGTGGCGAAAGAAACGGAAGCAAGGGGTCCAAATCACCCCCGTACCTTCACCTCAGTTATAAAAAGTACAAAATGAGATAGCCAAGCAATGGTTAACGCTAAGGGTCACCCACTCGTCCGCGGTGGTGCAGAATTAGGGGAGGAAATTTTACCTGTGGCCCTTAAACCAGTTTGATCAGCTTGCCGTGGATCTGTCAACTGTGAACACAGACATGGTCTCTCTTATGAAGGACTGTGAAATACCAATATTGGAGTACCGCATTATAAACTTCCTGCCATTTGAGCCTTCCCATAAAAGCAGCTCTTCTGCTTCCTGAGACCTGTGTAGGCCTGTGTTGTAGCATTAGGTCGATCCCATTATGTTATTTTTGCACAACCCCACCAAGAAAACACAACTGGATCATCACTGGTTACATATCTGTTTGCCCGTTTGTGTATAAACAGTCTGTGTTAATCCTGAAAGAGAAGCAGGATACTTAATTCATTCATGTTTTTGACATCTGATTGAAAATGTAATCTGCTATGAGCCATGTATTCATTACCCTGGAATCGCAAACATGCCCCTCCCACAACGCATAGCTGACTGCATTCCCAGATGTTGCAACAGTGCTTGATGAGACGGTTAATGCTTTCACCAGCGCAGATTGAAACCGGAGATGCGGCTCTATCTTATCTCTCAAAACAACAACATCCCTTCTCACTCCGAGACACCCCAAAATACTACTGTTTCTCGCTGTATTTCAAACTAGGCAATATGCTAATGTATAGTGAAAACGAATAAAGCTTTATCCATAACAAAAAAAAAGACAGCTGTGGACTCTTGCGGGGGGGAAAGCAGTTGCATCAACATTGCTCCACTAAAATGAATTTAAGCCTCACTGTAGAGTTGCTTCCTAGGGTAGAAAATCATGGTAAGACGTCATGGGGACTCCATGCATCCGCTAGTGTACTAACAAAAGAAAAGTATGATAGCCTCAAAGATCTTGTCGCAAGACAATTATGATGTATAATTCACAATATAACACTCCATATAGCGTGCTTAGATACAGTGAACAAATGCGTTCTATAATAATTATACAAATATAAGTGTCGATAGGAAGATGTTGCACAAATTTATTCAGATGAACAAGTCTACATCCCATGTTCATATGTGTTTCAAAATTCCAGGAAGGGAAAGTGGATAAAGTGAACAGTGAAGGTTATGACACAGAGACTGTAAAGATGTCTCTAAGGGCATGCCCCCCATTAGCATACTATTCTCTGGAACCAAAGAGTCCGCATAGAGCCTTTGTTGGCATGGAACTAGAAAACCATCATCCTGCCAGCACAGCTGATTTATTTTGCCCGGAGAATGACAGACGAGTGACATGACATTGTTTTTATGTCATCCCCCCTGGTGCCTAAAAGCATGATGTTTGAAGTTTTATGTCAAGGAGGCTTAGGGCAGTTAAAAAGCAGTAAAAATAAAAAAAAGGGCTGTGGATGTTGATGAGTTTTCAAGACTGTATAGCTAGTGCTGCATCGGACAGTTCAGGGACACCTCTGCTCTGATGCTGGAGACGAAGGCAGGGATACCATGGAGGAGGAGAAGAATTCGAGAAACGAGTGCCGAGCAGCACCGAACAAGGGCGAAGCACAGAAAGTACGTGGGTGCTTGAGGTTTATTTTAGGGGCAAATAAATGTAGACAAGGTTGATAATAGAAAGCCAGAGGGGGCATGTGGAAACAAAAGTCTTGAAGGAGCAATAAACTTTGCCAGAGAAGTCATTCCACCACGCGTGCAAGAAATTCAAGCTCCTGCCGAAGTGTTCTTGTGGTGTGGCGGGTGCATCTTATCATGGAATAACATGCCAAAATGTACAGCAGGCTCTGCAGTTTCCTTAAACTTCCACAAGTTTTTGTACAGGAAAAAATGAAGATTTCAGTTCTTTCTATTTGTCCGCTCCACCCCCATACCTACCAAAAAAGCTTTACTCTCTGACACTCTGCCAAGCCAATTGTTTTTCTTACAGACCACTGATCACATGTTGCCTTCCAGTGCCAATTAAAGGAGTGGCAAGTAACGATGGGAGAAGCTAGGCTTCAGAGAGTATTAATCATGCACTGACAATACTGATTTAACCCAACAAGAACCAGACAGTTATCAATACTCTTAACCACTATAGCTTTTCTGTTCTTAAAATTTCCTTAATGATGACAAGCACTTGATAATTTACAGATCATATGAAAAATCCACTCACTGTGGATTTCAAAGCATGATCTTCCACCATCACTAAAGATCATGAAGATTTGAAAAAAATAATGGTTAAAGAACTCCTGAACTCTTAAAATCAAAACCTTCTTGTTGGGGCAACTTCCAGGAAAACAGCATTTGTAACCTTGAGCATGGAACTCAATGTGAATGACTTTGGCAAGTGTCCATCCATCCACAGTTCCTCTATACCGCTTATCCAATACAGAGCTGTGGTGAGCTTGGAGCCTATCCCAAGAAATACTAGGCAAAGGAAGGAGGACACTCAGGATGAGGTACTCAGCAAGTATCCAATGCATATGAAGTCTACCAAAGGCAACAGAAAGCTTGGGAAAACTTTGCAACTTCTGATGAGCAACTCTGTGCTTGTGCAATGGCTGCATCAGATACCCTGGCTCACTCAACCCGTCTGCCCCAGGGCAAAACGATGGCAATTACATTCCACCACCGCAATCAGGGCTGGACAATGACACGGCTCAGGCTCAAATTGTTCAAGATGAACCTTTCCTTGAGCAGTGTTTTGCTACTTTATTTTCCCAGTGATGGGAAAAACAGGACTGCAGGATTTCTGAGAAGAACACATTATCTACACAACTATGTGCTCTTGGCCTTATTTGAGAGCAATTCACTGCATCACAAAATGAGACGTCCAACTAAATGGAAAAAAGACCGCTTAAGGTATATAGCTCTTAACTTGAATTCGGTTTTGTAAACTAATTAGTAAGTCACAGCGAACATTTTGCTATTTTAATAACTGCAGGGTCTCTTGTTGCTTACCAAGTTTTATCAAAGCTTGGCAAAAAAAAAAGAATAACAGAGGTAGGCTTTTGGGGCAAAGGAACGGGAATTTGGAAAAGGTTTTAATGGAGTACAGGAGAATATGGGGGATGTTTGTAAGAAGATAATTTTACTTTGGTCGCACTTCCTTCAAACATGTTCTCATCTCAACATTTTTTAACAAGGGCTCAGACTGGGCCGGCTTTATGTGTCTCTCAATGGACAGCACTGGCTCCAGCCTGATATTTCATCTCTCTGTTTATACTCTGGGATCACCTTATGTTCTCCCCCCCAATACACTTTACATGTGTTTCACTTTAGAAGAAGCTGTCCCAAGTTGGACTCGCTTTAAACACACGGAGGCTTCTACGTTGCCCCGGATGGCGGACGTCTGTTTGATTTGCACTCTGGCAGTTTCTCAGAAAACTTGTGTACACGCCAAACTCGGGGTGGAAAGCTGGCCCAGCGCCTCCCGAGAACACAAGCATCACGTTGCGCTTCTCACTTATGCAAGCACAGGTTAGGCGCTCTAAATCTCTCCTCCTGGGGAGGGACGTGACCTGAAAGTACAAAATCTTGACAGGTAGAGCAGGGTCATGTATAGTTACTATTTTACTGCTAGTATTACTCCAGGATCATATGGTTTTCCAGTTGGAAACCAGGTAACATCACAAGAAAATAAATTCTTTAATTTGAATAATCTTCTTAGTAGTGTAATGGAGTCTTTATAGCCATTCTGCATACTGAGGTAGCCCCCTGCCCTAACTCTGATTTGGAGGAGTTTGAGCAGAGAGTGAAGGAAAAGCAGCTAGTATTTGTGGGACCTCCTTCAGGACAGCTGGAAGAGCATCCCAGGAGGCCACCTCATGAAACTGGTGTAGAGGAGACCATAGGGTCAACCAGTCCCTGGAGCAATTGGAGTTAACGGCCTAATGGTGGGATCACTCTGCCAACCGCGGATTTGAACTAGCAATCTTCTCTTGAGTCCCGACCATTAAATTATAATTTTTTTGGTCAGTACATAATTCCATATATGTTATTTTATAGTTTTGATGTCTTTGTTTTAAAATAGAGAGAACAGTACAAATAAAGCTTTCTATGTGAGTCAAAACTTTTGGCTGGTACTGTATATGAATTGTGATGGACTGGCATCCGGTCCAGTGTGTACCCCAGCCTTGTGCCCTATGCTACCTGGGATAAGCTCCAGGCCCCCTGTGATCCTCACCAGGATAAATGGTTAGAAGATGGATGGATGAATGTATTGATTTCCATCTTTTCAGCACCATAAAATATAAACAAAAGCGTAACTGTCCAGCTCAGTCTTTTATTCCTGCTGTGCCATCCAGGATCTCAAAGTACCTCAAAGTAAATGAGCGACAGGGCCTGTGACCATGGCTTTGAAATACCTGCAGGAGATACGGAGGTGTGATGGGGACCAGATGGGGAGCCGAGCGCTCAAACCATCTATCAACGTCTTGCCTGTCCATTAAACAGCGGCGCTTGGAGTGTGAGAAGAGCAGCTTCATGGCAGCTCTACCGTGGAGGTCTGATTCGAAGCAGGTTTACCCACCGCACTCCTCAGGAAACACCTGTATTTTATTGCCATTATTCCATTTCAGACACTAAGCCGGCCGATTTGCGGACCCCTGTCGCAAGTGGGCCGAGAAATGTCACGACATGGGGAACACGCGGCGGACTGGGTTTCAGGGAATCAGGGGCCGGACGAGACTTGAAAGAGACGAGCTGAACATAACAAGAGCCCAGATCAATCAACATGCCGGCTGCTAAGTCTGACTTCTATTGCCGCAGGATTTTCATTTCCTACACATCCGGACTTTTGAAGGCAAGGTGATAAAGTTTTATTACCACCGAGGCAAGACTGACCGCTGCATTTGTCGGCTTTGATAAAAACAAATAACCTCGTCCTGGTCTGTCCAGCAAGTGTCAGAGGCCGGTGGTATCTGGAATTCATTACGTGCCATGGTGGCGGGCATGTCTAATTGGAGTGTCGGGCCGGGTCGGTCACTGCTCCATCTAAAAACACTGCACTGCTGCAGACTCCGAGTTGAACAAACAGGATGGTGGAACTACAGAAGCAGCATTTTTTTCACCGCGCAGCCTGGAGCCTCTGAAGGTCTGTATTTCCAAAGCTTTAAAAAGGAGAATTGACAGAGATCAACAAAGCCTATTGGAACCTTTCGTCCATCAAGATAAGAGGACAAGTACTTAATACCCGGATTATCTGGACAACTCCAACGTGCTGGCAGGTCCGACCGTCTGTCCGGAGGTGTGAATGGATGTGTACACTGGAATGTTGACTTGAGAAGGAGAGATAAGGAAGAGTTTGAAGGAATGTTTATTCTGATGGAGGCCCTTTGCTTTCAGTCATAATCATGACCGTTAGCTATGCCTGACCGTTCCAGTTAGACTTCCCAGCTTCCTCCACCGCTGTGCCCCTTGCTTGCGGTCTTCCACAGACCCTAATGTACGAAGTCACATAAGCCCCCTTCTGCTGTTGATTTGGAAAGGCAACAACTGGATATTTCCCAGAGGCAACAGTGAACTGACAGGAAACTTGTGTTGCTTTTTGCATGAGTTGAAACAGGGGGAGAAAAGGGAAGAAAAAAATTCTTAACTGGGACACGTTGCTGCATACTTGCTGCAAATCTGCAGCATTATGCAGTCTACAAATACAATTCTCTCATGACAAACAGTGTAATCAACTTGTAATTTAATTTAACATATGGTAAACAGCTTTCAGAGAAAAGTAATCAGTGGAAACTTTTTTAGCCAATAAGTACAGAATATGCTAAAGTAATATGCTAAATCAATAATTTTGTATTGTATATTTTGTATAGACTATAGTATTGATCTAGGGTGAACAGTTTTTTTCACCCATATTTAGGTTATTAAAGCCACAGTAAAAATGTTTAGTTTCAAAGGCAATGTCCATCTAGTAACTGGAGATTAGAAACTGGACAGTTGTAGGCGAACTGGCACTTTTAATTTAAATATCACTGTTTAAAAAAGTTAATCACACTGACAGATGCGATTCGGGGCACAAAAAGTGTTTACATTTAGATCATAAACATAGAGATGATTCACAGAGATTTTACACTCTGCAGGACTTTAAATTCCATTTCAAATAGCATATACTACTTGTGATGTTATAACATGACGTTTGTGATAAAACAGCTGAAGTTCTCATCACACAGCTTCCCTTGACACAAATGACACTGTCTGGCGATGCAGAAAGAAAACCTCATTACTTTGTCTTTAGCTATTTAGCACCAAAATGCGATGTCTATTCACACCAGCTTCAGGATGATATCACTGTAGCAGACATTCCACATGTTTTTACCTAAACCTTAAAAGAGATAGCAGACCATACCTTTGCAAGCCTTGCGGTGGTTGATGGGCCGGGAGAGGTCCCTGTAGAAGCCCTCCTTGCAGTAGTGACAGTGGCGGCCGGCAGTGTTGTGTCGGCAGTTCATACACACCCCCCCGCTCTTCCTCCCGGACAGTTTGTACAGCTCCATGTTGAAGCGGCAGCGGCGAGCGTGAAGATTACAGTTGCAAGCTGGGAAGACAAGAAAAGGGGAAAGAACATGTAAAAAAGGGCTTTTTTTCCCACCTCTTCAAGAAGAGACTCTGCCCAGTGGAAATTATGCTATGTGTCTGGAACAAACTTTAATTTTTAAAACCTGTGTGATAGCTTTTAAATGTATACATGTTTTAACATGGCTTAATTGGATTAATTAAGACATGAATCTAAATGGAATCTTTCATGAAAATCCATATCTGGATGAATCTGTATTACTGGACCCATATCTACACATATTAGGTAGGTATTAGCAAAGGTATTAGTACTTTGACTGTGACCTAAGAGGAAAAAAAGGAAAGGAATTAGACCAAATCACCTTTTTATCAGATCTTCATCTCTGCATTTTATGCTAGGAGTGGGATATTAAAAACACGTATGTTTTCTGACAGGATGAGTTTTTAAATGCATCCCTGAGAGTGCCAAGGTGGAGTTGGAAAGACAGCTGCTGGACACATTTCTATGGATGCCTTCACAGTGACAGGGTGGGGTCCAAACAGGATAAATTACAACCAGGGGAAATCTAAATATCAGGCGTCTCTTTACCATGTGTAGCATTTGCTGTGATTTCTCCATACCCCACAACACAGAAAGCAGATCCATCTCTTACCACCAAGAGCCCAGAAGAGCAATGCAGACCACAAAGGTGTACATTTTTAATCAGGATGTCTGCAGTCATGTTCATATAGAAAGAAAACCCATTCTGGGCTTTTGCCATTGTCTGCCTTAGGGCATCGCTTTGTAAATTCCTGACCTCCAAACCCACAATCAGGTTTCAGGCACTTCTGATCATTCAGCTGATGTGCAGTTCAAACAAAATCCTCAGCTTCTTAGCCAGCCTCCCCTCCATCCACACAGAAAAAGAACATTTTCTATATTCCTACATCTTTTCTTTTATTTAGGGAGAAATTAACTGGGCTGACAACTACTTTTACATGAAGAAGGTTCCCTATGAGACCCACTCTGACCCACTTGTGCTCATCATATACCAAAGAGCTCAGTCAGGAATAAACGCTTCTCATCTAAAATTACCCTGCTATACAATGTACATTTATAAAAATTTATAATTAAGAGGACATTTAGTAGATTCAGAACTATTACGGTTTGGAGAGTGAAACCATCCAAATATTCACAAAGCTACACATGGATAGTAAATGCGTATATTTACATTGTAAATATTAATATCTCTAGTTCGCAACACATTCGTATTGCTCACCCTACTGCTGACAAATATGCAGAATGCATACTGCAGCCCCCCTCCTATGTCTAGAGAATTCATAGTATTCTTAAGGTGCTACGACTGCAATAAGAAACATCTGCCCTGTGTTTCCAGGTGCTGGCTGTAGTTTGCCTGAGCGCAATGGAATTACTCGTGGCTAATTTTGCGTTACAATAAGCCTTATCTGAATAACGAAGTGTTTTTTTTTTTTGCTATTTGATCCAACATAGATCAGTCTATTGCACGGCATATTGCAGATGGACCGTGTTTCTGTCCAGTTATCCATCTGCTTTCCCTTCGCACCCTGGCCATATGCCCACCACATGGCAGTCACCTTCAGGTTCGCGGCCTCACCGATCTGACAAATCAGCAGGAAGAGCCTGATAGGCCCATGCCTTGTGGAATCAAAGAAACCTCTAAACACCCTCCCAACATAAAATACATAATAGAAAGAGCACAGTGGAAATCTACAATGATTAGAGTGAAAAAAGTCCACACTCCTGCTGTGAGAGACAAATTGAAAGACTCTCACAAGTACAGCGGCTGTAATTCCTTAAGGCTTTAGTTCCTCTAGATAGTAGGATACGTGTGATTAGTGTTTTATAGAATATTCTAATCCTCTGCTTGAAGCCACATTTATAATAATAATAAAGAAAAATATGTTAAATGGTATTGTTTTCAGAGAAAAAGGTCTGTTTCAAAGCATTAATGGTTCCCGATCCAACCACCTGACTGACAAGTCGTAGACTCCACTATAAGTGTATCCCACACGATTCCATCTGATTATTATTACAAAGCCAATTTGTCTGGAATTCTCCACTTAATGAAAACCTTTTTTTCTAATCCTCCTCGGAGAGAAGCCATTTTCCTACAATAAGTCGCGGGTTCTGTTCCCGCGGGTTCTGGCGTCGACCCTCTTAGCCTTAGCTGCAGTCTGCTTCAGTCTAATTAATGACAGGCCCTTGACACACGGAAGCCCGTTTACAGACGCAGATATCGGAAAAGCGTAAAGCGTGCTCCTATCATACAAGTTATCCATCCTTCGGAAGGATATGCTGATCAGAGAAAGGAGCTGATCATCGTGTAAAATGACAGCTAAGCTCAAGGCTGATCTGTGTGGAGTATTAAAGTTGAGGCCAAATCTGTTATTTCCCCAGCTTCCGTTCAGTGACATCCCCTAATCATTTGTAAGCTTTAGTCTGTATCTCTTGAAAATTCTTGTTTGAGTTTCCATACCTCTGACAGAGTCCTGTTACTGCTTTTAACAAGGTACCAGTGCGTAGGGCAGAGTGTTTGGGGGGGTGGGGTGACTGATTAAACGCCTCAAACCAAAGCACAGCTGTGAGCACTTTTGTCTGTTAACACACTAATAATGGACACAGGAGAGAGTGATCACTCAATTAGCACCCACACCGAATTACCACTTTCGTTTAGACTTTCGGACCTGTGAGACCGTCACCATTCGGCTGATAATTTGCTGCGCGAGGCACCAGCATGGTGTACTTGTTCGCTGACCCCGGCTTGCCATTGAAACCAGAACAAATGAACAATGAAAATGACAAGAGTTCTGTGGGTTGAAGTTGCTGCTTTGAGCCATTTGATTTATCCCCTTTGCAAGAGCCTTGGCCAGTGGCCTCAACCAATCAGAGACCAAGAGGCGTTTCTGTGATCCGTCAGTGACCCAAGGAGCGCCTTAACCTGCATCAGAGCCTATTATACTTTTCCCACCTTTTTGAGGGCTCAAAGGGGAGGGAGGCACGTGAAGAAAAGGGAAATAAAAGGGGGCTGTTAACTGCAGCTCCGTGGCACTGGAGGATTTTCTGCAGCACATGGCATGTTTATGAGTTTGTTTTGAAGCGCTGCACAGAATTCCCCTTAATTCGTCTCAGCGGGGATAACTGCGTCTCAGCAAGGCCATTTTTAAATTCATTAACACATCAAAGGCAAATGGGAGATTTCTGAAAATGCTCTGTAATTGTTATCTGTTGGAGAGACCCAGGGGTTCGAAGAAGTGGCGGGGGGGGGGGGTATTAAAACTCCTGGCCAGCACATTTTATAGGTCATCGCCACTGTCGTTCGCGCTTGGCAAAAAAACAAACAAAGAACGAGGACACAGCAAATTAACTGCTGATTGAAATAACAAGTGAATGGGCCAGAAGGGATTAATTAATTGATTCTGGATCAGCACTGGGTCACGACACATAATGAGCAAAAATAATACCACCCTATTGTGACCCCATATTTTGAGCAGAAACAAGGCAAAAGGGGTATTTTAAACCTCACAGAACTTCAAGACAAATATTTTCATAATGATTTTTTGGGTATTGTGTTTTCTGTTGCCAAGGATGTAGAGGAAGATGCAGAGCTGCACTCTCCAGAGATACCCCTCTTCCCACTCTCATAGCAGGCTTTAATTGGCACCACTCTGAACCTTTCGGCTTTCCCCATTGATTCATTACCACATCAAACCCTTATTAAAATGTTTCGTCCTATCCACTTTTTCATATCATTATTTTGGAGACACTTACTGGAACTAGGTTGCTAGGGATGCAGTTGTTTTGCAAACAAGAGTAAAATTTAGGGAGTATGAACCAGAAAGGTGGGGGTGTCTCTTTGCTTTTTTCACATGCAAATGTGCACCCTAAGACTGATTTTATGTTGTACGCAAGCTACATTGTTTCAGAAAATCCCCTATTTTTAACACCTGCTCATAAAATTTCACAGTTTTAGCAGATACCATGCAGACAGTTTGTCCTTGATTTTTCTTTGTATTACATGGTGCTTTTTTCTTGCATGGGTAATGAGTAAGGTCTGCTCATTGCATGGGGCTGTTTTGACCAAAATCCATGTCTGCAGTCCTAAAATAGACTTATGAGGTCCACAAGTTGGAGCTTTCTGCCAATAAAGACGGAACAAGAGGGGGACCTCTGCCCTCATCACTGGAGGTTTTCACGTCTGTCTGAGTCTGGTGCTCTCAGCCAGCCTCCCCTGGACACAGGAGCACAGGACAGTGCTCTGCCAAGCCCAGAAGCCACCTGCTCCGGACCCAGCCTATAATTGTCCCATGGATCCAGCCAAGTGAGTGCTGGCTACTGCGGGACAGAGAGGACCCTCTGTTCAACTTCACCCAGCATGCTGAGTCATGCTTTGAAGAAGAACTTAAAGGCAGGAGATTAGACACCTATTTCTCAGGTTCACTTTGTATTGCAGCAGCTACGGCAGTGTTCCCCTGGTCTACCTCACCTACCTAACTCTTGAGGTTTGAACCTCAAGAACAGGTTTTGACAAGATTATGCTTCAGGGTGGCCTCATGTCAGCATGAACCTTCCTAAGCCCTGAATTTCATGCTCCACTTCCTCATCAACATGCCATGCTGTGATCATCATCATCATCGTCGTCATCATGATCATCTACATTCATAACCTCTTTGGTGACACAATTCTGCACCAAACAAAATGTGGGACGTTCAGGTTCTCCATTAGTTTTGACTTCACATGTGACCTGAACCATGGGTGATGCCTCCTCACCAGGCATGTTTGGGGATTCTGGCCTTGAAATCAATCGGGGGGAATTCCACAGACAGACGTCAAGCCTTCCCCACAATAACAGGGTGATTAGGGAATGAACTGCTAAAGGACGTTGGGATAAGGATGATACTGCGATGGGTTCACACTATCACTTTGGCTACTGTCCGCAACAGCAAAGCACCAGATGGCAGGAACCTGAGAGAGCAGGGGGGCTGTGAGGAGCTCCTGACCTC